ATTAAACGTCTTGTATTTCTTGCGTCAGCTGGGTGTGGTCAAAGTTTAGTATTGGAAATTTTAGGATCCCTTGTGACGTTAAAACATTGTTTTGGAAACCTTTGAAAGAATCTGAACATTGTCGGATTTTAATAGAAATTTCATGACTTATTCACAAATGAATTAAATTATTTTTGCGATATTTTAAACTTAAGTAAATAATATTTGTTTAAAATCAGATTAGAATTTAAAAGCCTTTATAGACGGAGCTTCATTTGAAGTTTCCGCACCAAGACGGAGCACATCTCACAAGCCCTCAGAAAGAAAAAAAATCTATATAAAATGAGAAAACACAGCAAACAATCATAAAAGACGCCATTGAATGAAATGCGAGAAGCAATCCGATTGGCTGATATGATGACCGTTTTAATCCGTCCAGTAAATCATCGTCATTCGATTTTTCGGTCGATAGATCGGCCCTGTCGCCTCCTAATGATTTTATACTTTAAATTAGCTAATACATTGTAACCCGGATATAAGAGACCCGGATATAAGAGAAACCCGGATATAAGAGATTTTCTCTGGTCCCAAATTAGAGCCCATACTTACCTAAACAAAATAGACCAAACCCGGATATAAGAGAAACCCGGATATAAGAGACTTCATATCCGGTCCCGACAACTCTCTTACATCCGGGTTAAACTGTATTCCTCAAATAATGTTTTAAAGAAGGATATTTTATTTTTGGAAGATTTTTATTAAAGAGAATTGCGTTGTGGTGAAAGTACAGAGTGAGCCACACACTACCAAAAAGTTTTTTGTTTTTTTTAAGCGTTTCACCCCAAGAAAGGCGAGAAGCCACTAGGACGCAATGGGTTACAGAAGATTTGGAGGAAGATCAGATAGGAGTGATAGAGGAAAGGATGAGGAGAAGGATAGTGGATAGATCAAAAGAACTGGATATATCGATTGACATTATATTTGAATAGCTGGAGATTATAGCTCTCAGGGAAACTGGTAGAGGGAAGGGAGTTCCACAGGCGGGAGGTGCGAGACATGAAGCTATTGGAGTAGAAGAGACGGCTACATTTAGGAGTTTCGACAGTGAAGGGGTGAGAGCGGGATGCCAGCCTCGTAGGGCGCTTGAACTCATGACGTCTGGGAACCAGCGAATGCATCTCCTCGGCGCAATTGCCATGAACGTATTTGTAAAACAGATAGAGAGAGGCGACGGCGCGTCTGTGAGAAAGTGACTGTAGACGAGATGCCAGAGCAGGGCCAATTATATTGCATATTCGCACCTGGAGCCTATCAAGAACCCCGAGGCAAATAAAAGAGGCTCCAGACCATGTGAACAATAGCAGAACAACTAATACAAAGTACATGTACTGGATTCAGTTTATTCACTTTCAGTGACGTTGTATGGGAAGGTCATGTATAAACACCGCCATTCCTTTGGCGCAAAATGATGTGATGCCATGTGAAACTCATGGAAGCTGTGTTTTGTTGATTGCTGCAAAGGCTCTCCGAATGACGTCCTTCAACCGAAGGGTGTTCTGATATCGTTCATGTGAAACTTTCTCCTTGATAATACCACACAGATCGTTGAAATAAAAAATATATTGTGTAGGGGTGACAAGACTTGTAGACTAATTACAGTGTAACGCGGATATTATATATTAATTGATGGCGTTAGAAGAATCCTCAATCCTCAACAGAATATAGACTCATCCATTTTTGTTAGGGGATGAGCATTACTGAGTAATACGAAAAAAGGCCGAAATGCCCGTCCAATGCTTTTTGCATTCAGTTGAGGATTCTTCTAGACTCGATAAATTACTATCAATGATTAGTCAACCCACACAAAAAATCTGTCTGTCTGTCTGTCTGTCTGTCTGTCTATTTTCTCTCTCTCTCTCTCTCTCTCTCTCTCATTCACACACACACACACACACATATATATATATATATATTATATGATTTATGTATTTATTTTCGATATACAGTGTAACCCGGATATAAGAGAAACCCGGATATAAGAGAGATTTTCTCTGGTCCCAAATTAGAGCCTGTGTTAATGTATATAAAATAGACCAAACCCGGATATAAGAGAAACCCGGATATAAGAGAGATTTTCTCTGGTCCCAAATTAGAGCCTGTGTTAATGTATATAAAATAGACCAAACCCGGATATAAGAGAAACCCGGATATAAGAGAGATTTTCTCTGGTCCCAAATTAGAGCCTGTGTTAATGTATATAAAATAGACCAAACCCGGATATAAGAGAAACCCGGATATAAGAGACTTCGTCTCCGGTCCCGACAACTCTCTTACATCCGGGTTACGCTGTATATTGAATTTATTGATAATGATAAGAAAGTTAGTTCACTGTGTCAAGCTAGACAATTTCTCTCACCAGAATCTACCATTCATATTTCTTTAGGTACAAGCTTTTTTTTTCGGTATATCTAAGATTAAAATCAATTTTCATAAATAAGAAATCTTTTCTCTTTAGCTTTAATTGAAAGATAACGGATTAAATTTACTATTGCCAGTAAGCAAAATCCTCTGTAGTGTATTTCAAATACAAATTATAGTGATTGGAATCGATTTTTTTTTGTTTTTGCTAAAATAGCTGATTGGTGCTATTTTTAGTCGTCTCTCATAGCTATTGTACTTATGCAGTTGTACTTCTTAATAATATAACCATTAAAAAATCTTCCAAAAATAAAATATACATTTCTGAAACTTTATTTGAGACATATTAGCTGATTTAAAGTATGATTAATCTAAAAAAAAATACTCAGTTAAAAATAACAGAAATAGATTTTTAAAACAAACAGTAGCGGAGAATTAGTGCTTGTCAAGACTCGTAAATCACCTGTCAAGTACTTCAGAAACAGCTGTCAAGCTATTTACGAGGCGTTGGCACGTTTATTATTGTTCTACGTAGACTTTATCTGTTAAAACATAAAAAAAATGACGGCTGAACTCTTTTTATATAATTTTTAAGTGCTCAGTAATCTTTAAAATATCGGAAATATTTTCTGTAATCTAATTTTAGGAATGCTGGCTTTAAATTTAATATAGTCATCGATCTTACTCTCTGATAATGTCGTGTATGGTCGCCCATACTTTCAAAATGGAAGCGTTTATACATATAACAAAATTAAAATTATTTTAAAAAATTTGCTGCTTGGTGATTTGTATTAAGCTTTTCAATTTTCGCTTCGTAAGAATAGGCTTCACTGAATAACTTAATAACCTAACAAAGAGAGTTTTGAAGAATTTTAAAAGATTTTTGAAACTTTATAAATTATAATAAAAAATTAAAAACAGTTATTGTAATAATTCATTATTCATTGAAAAAAGGTTTTTTTTCTTCAAACTATAATGTCCTTAATATATATTATTTATAAAAGCAATTAAAAGTTTATCTAATTAAATATTTTCATAGTTTTATTGCAGTTTTTATTTTACAATTCGTAACACATTTTCGAAAACTGAGTAATTGTTTGAAAAAAAATTGGATGATTTACATTCTCCAATGAATCCTGCTTTTAACTAATAAAATAAATTTAGAGGATGAAAATTAATTTGTAGAAATTTCATGAAATTAAATGGTGGGTAAGATATGTAAAAAATATTTTTACCACGATCTATTACGACTGAATAGTGAGATTGATCCTCACTGGGTTTCCGATAATTTCGGCCTTGTGCCACATCAAAGCTACGCTTAGAAAACCATTTTGTGTACTTCGATGTGATGTAACAGTTAGCAAGCTTGTCTCACTAGAACAATTACGACTGAGTAGTGAGTTCGATCCTCACTGGGTGTCCCATACTTTCGGCCTTGTGCCACATCTAAGCAGCGCTTAGAAAATAACTATATTGTAGGACGAGGGGCACCTCGAGGTGGTGTAATGGTTAGCAGGCTTGTCTCGATGGCACAATTACGACTGAGTAGTGAGTTCGATTCTCATGAGGTACCCACTACTTTCGGCCTTGTGCCACATCTAAGCTGTGCTTGGAAAATCACGAGGGCCCCTCGAGGAGATGTTATTACTGTTCTCCTTCTTATGATTTGTCGCCTTCCAAGTTCATATACTTCGCGTATTCACTTTGCTTTTTAGTTGGTTTGTTTAGCGGCTTATCAATGTCTAGGGATAATTTAAGTCCGGGTATCTAAATAATTTGCATGCTATTTTTTTTTTTTTTTTTTTTTTTTTGGAGATAATAAGTTTTACTAATGAACCCATAGCTGGGGAGAGAAGAGGTGGATTCTTAGCTTTCCTAAGGGTAAAGTTTGCGCCTAAAATTGAAACTCAGCTCCCCGATTAACAATTCTGAGCTATTATACATTACAATAGCCGCATATCCGCCCTGCCGGATAAGGGTTCAGAATACGCCAACTGCACCTCTGCAGAGGGGTAAGACCCCGCCAAATGAGGCGTCCTGAGGAAGACGATAAACTACATCCAACAGCAAGGCCTCTGATCAGGAGGTTTTGAGGAGCTTGGAATCCCCTCCTAATTGCTGGTGTTTACAGGTCCACCCTGAGTCGGAGTGGTAGCACCTGTTAGGGGTCCCAGCTATGGGCAAATAGTTAACTCCCTAAACTAGGGTCAAAACACTATGAAAGTGTAAAAATAGATTTTAATACCATCAATACATTTTGGTAAAAAAAAATATTACTAGCAATACATTGTTACCAGCAATATATTTTTGAAGAAAAAATTATTACCAACAATACATTGTTACCAGCAATACATTTTTGAAGGAAAAAAAAAAACATTACCGTCAATAGACGAGAAAATAGAAGAGAAAAATATTATCACCAATACATTTTTTAAGGGAAAAATATTACCAGCAATACATTTTTCAAGAAAAAAAAATATTAACCAGATATAATTTTTTGAAAAAAATATTACCAGCAATAAAAATTTTAACCGGCATTAAATAAGCAGTTGAGGTTGATACGCCGTAAAACAAACCAAATCAAACCAGCCACACCTCCAAACTTACAACACTGCCATTCCCAAGCGGTTACCAATCAAAGTACTGAGCGGGCTCGATGTTGCTTAACTTCGGTGATTATACGGGAACTGGCAAATTCAGCTTACTTTCTATCTACTTTGAATAACCTACTCTTCCAGTCGATTTCGACACGCAAAACATTTCCATTTTCATTTTTCTTCGTCTTATTTTATTTCGACATTTCATTTTTTTTTCTATGACGCCACAAAGTCAGTAAACTCTTTTTACCTTCATTCCTCGATTCAACTCCACTTAATTCCACCCCCCACCCCGTATACTCCCTTCTTGTTTTGAAGCACCTTTTTTTTTCCCCTTGTCTCTTTCCCTCTATCATCTTTACGAGGAATTCCACTCGTAGTGCGGGTAAAATCATTTAGAAGACTCTTGGATCTTTTTGCTACCATTTTTTTTTTTAAGTTCGTTTGCTGGAATATTTACGTCTTGAGTCTCTTCTCTTCTTTTCAGCCTCGTCAGCTCCTATTAACCCAAAGACTTTAGAATAGATGAATGCGTGGCCCGTATTCCTGGTTTGTATCATCCTAAATTGTTATCAATAGGGAGAGAACTGGGTTCTAGGAGAGGGAAGTCCTTGACTCCAGTTTGGCTAAAAACTGGTGAGACAAGTCATTCTTCGTTAGAGGCATTCAACCTGTTCTCATCACTAGAAGAAGAAAAAAGAAATAGAAAGAAAGGAAAACTAACCTTTCAAAAATAGAGTTCAGCTTATTGTTATAGCATAAAACTTGAGTCGAAAACTACAATTTCATATCAAGAATAGACAGTTATTTTTTACGAAAAGAAAACCCAGGCATATAACCAGTGCAAAGAGAACCTTTACGTGGTGTAATACTTAGAAAGATTGTCTCGCTAGATCAATTACGATTGATTACTGAATTCGTTCCTCATAGGGTGACCCACATTTTGGACCTTGTGCCACATCTAACCTACGCTTAGAAAATCTTTTAGGGGCATTTGGTCATGGTATGACGGTTAGCAACCTTGTTGGCTAGATCAATTACAACTGAATATATTGTCTCGTGAGATCAATTACAACTCCATACTTTCGGCCTTGTGCCACATCTATGCTAGGCATAATAAATCACCATGTAAAAAATGTCAAAATATGAGGCAGATTTCTCATGTGTCATATCCCTATTTACGAAATGTCGAGGACGGAACGTGCGAGACGAAAATCCCAAGGCCAATTCGGATAGCCAAAGATACAGTCCAAAAGCCACACAGAGTATAAAGAAAACAAAAACTTCGTGCGAAACAAATAAAACGAACTGAACTGTTAAGTGATATCTATGAGTGATACCTATGTGGTAGTGAATGGTGGAAAATCTACTCAAAGATTAAGAGACTTGAAGCAATAGAAATGTGGGGCTACAGAAGGATGCTGAGGATACCATGCACCAAACACGTGAGCAACGACGATGTTTTAGAGAAAATGGAAACAAAAAGGAAACTTATACTTAACATCAGGAAGAGACAGTTGAAATTTCTACAGAAGGATGTTGAGGATACCATGGACCGAACAAGTGAGCAACGATGAGGTTTTAGAGAAAATGGAAACAAAAAGGAAACTTATACTTACCATCAGAAAGAGACAGTTGAAATTTCTACAGAAGGATGCTGAGGATACCATGGGCCGAACATGTGAACAACGACGATGTTTTAGAGAAAATGGAAACAAAAAGGAAACTTATACTTAACATCAGGAAGAGACAGTTGAAATTTCTACAGAACGATGCTGAGGATACCATGGACCGAACATGTGAGCAACGACGAGGTTTTAGAGAAAGTGGAAAGAAAAAGGAAACTTATACTTAACATCAGGAAGAGACAGTTGAAATTTCTACAGAAGGATATTGAGGATACCATGGACCGAACATGTGAGCAACGACGATGTTTTAGAGAAAATGGAAACAAAAAGGAAACTTATACTTAACATCAGGAAGAGACAGTTGAAATTTCTACAGAAGGATGTTGAGGATACCATGGACCGAACAAGTGAGCAACGACGATGTTTTAGAGAAAATGGAAACAAAAAGGAAACTTATACTTAACATCAGGAAGAGACAGTTGAAATTTCTACAGAAGGATATTGAGGATACCATGGACCGAACATGTGAGAAACGACGATGTTTTAGAGAAAATGGAAACAAAAAGGAAATTTATACTTAACATCAGGAAGAGACAGTTGAAATTTCTACAGAAGGATGTTGAGGATACCATGGACCGAACAAGTGAGCAACGATGAGGTTTTAGAGAAAATGGAAACAAAAAGGAAATTTATACTTAACATCAGGAAGAGACAGTTGAAATTTCTACAGAAGGATGCTGAGGATATCATGGGCCGAACATGTGAGCAACGACGAGGTTTTAGAGAAAATGGAAACAAAAAGGAAACTTATACTTAACATCAGGAAGAGACAGTTGAAATTTCTACAGAAGGATGTTGAGGATACCATGGACCGAACATATGAGCCACGATGAGGTTTTAGAGAAAATGGAAACAAAAAGGAAACTTATACTTAACATCAGGAAGAGACAGTTGAAATTTCTACAGAAGGATGTTGAGGATACCATGGACCGAACATATGAGCCACGATGAGGTTTTAGAAAAATGGAAACAAAAAGGAAACTTGTACTTAACATGAGGAAGAGTCCGTTGAAAATTCTACAGAAGGATGCTGAGGATACCATGGACCGAAGATGTGAGCAACGGCGATGTTCTAGAGAAAATGGAAACTAAAAGGGAACTTATGCTTAACACCAAGGAAAAACAGTTAAAATTTCTAGGGAATTTGATGAGGAAAGAGAGCTTGGAAAATCTGATTTTCATGGGACTGATTGAAGACAACAGTGACAGAGGAAAACAACGCACGACATACTTAGTGAGCTTGATTGCGGAATGGTCTTTAGGAACAATAACAAAGAAAAATTTATTAAGAGCTACGAAGAACAGGAAATTGGGGAGAGCCATGCAGAAGGAAGTAGAAGAAGAAAACGTCTAAGAAATCTAGAATTGAAGTAAGGCCAATAAAATATCGCGCGCAACAGACAGAATAGACGTAGTAAATGGAGAATGTAATTATTTTACTCTAGAAGCGTTCTATAGGTTGTTCCAAATATCAGACGACAATTCGCAGAAAACATAAACTTCTCAAATAGCAAACAGGGAAAATTTGCATGACATCACCTTCCATAATTCGACTAATAAAATTTCATAATAATAGTCACTTAGAGAAAGATGATTCCATTTGGTAAATAAATATAACATTTATCAATAGTAAAGCGGCTTTTGGAACACGCCCATTAAACTGCCCAGAATCTTAATTTTTACATCCTCATAGGTTCATAGTGTAGTGCCACGCCTACATTTTCTCGAATTCTCATTGGTTAATAAATACATGATACTTATTATAGGACAATTTAACCATCGCAAGTAATTCGAATTTTTCTCTAAAATAACGGATTGGTCCATTTCCTGACCAATCGCGTATTTTAGTATCTTTTCTATATTTCTGACGCTAAGCTATCCGGAGCCTACCCATCGTTATAAAAGAATTTCGCTATCAACCAAAAGACCAGTAGCAGTTCAATTCTTGGAAAATAAGGCACGGCGCTATATTGACATTTTAATTCTTAATTATTACTCATTCGAGTAATCATACTAATTCCTGTTGATATCACTCATGAACATTACATCTTTCTACACTGATAAAACACTGTGGAACTATTCTGTATTTAGCTAAGACTTCAATTGAACTTTGTAGTTAAATTACATTTAATTTTGTACTCAACATTTATTAGCTAAACTTACCCTTTTTTATCACGGAAAAAGGGGAACAACTTTCTTTATACTATTGTTGATATTTGTATATCATTGTTAATACAATATTTTATTAATGTTCACTGAGCTTGATTTTTCCTTGATGTTTAAAATTTAATGTATGGATGTTGATTATCTTGAAACACGCAGCCGCATTTAATTTGATCAACCCAACTACTAATCACACCATAACAATAGGTTCGATAACATATTGAATTAAATTTTAAACTGTTGCTTTCATTGATGAACATTCTTCTTCGCCTGTAATTCGTCATCGAAACGTTAACCTCGTATTTTACGGCCCATGTTTACAACCACCAAGCTAGGTTGTTGTTATTTGTCTTCCCAATAGATTTCGCCTAAAGACGAAACCAATTGAAATTCCTTGCTGCTCATATTCCTCTAGTCGTACCTAATCGAATGGAGACGCAGTTATCAAACAATACATATGGAAACTGCGCACTATACTTTTATGGTTTCTGGAGGCGGAGTGATACACATAAAGGATATAATTTCCGAACCACGTTACTTCCAAGAGATTAATGAAAAATTAAAATAAACTTGCAAAACATGTCATTTAAGCTACTGAAGATATCTTACAAGCGTAGTATCGCAAACTGTCTAGGTCATTATACAGTGTTCGAAATGTCATGTGACAATTGACAGAAAACATACACTTGTGAAATAGCAACCAGGGAAAATTTGCATAGCATCATCTAACATAAATCGACTAATAAAATTTCATAACAATTAGGTACGGTTTTCAGTAGAATAAAAGATATATATATATATATATATATATATATATATATATATATATATATATATATATAGGCAGAGTTTGCAGTATAATAAAAAGATAGACATAGGTAAGTTTGCAGTAGAATATATATATATATATATATATATATATATATATATATATATATATATATATATATATATAGGCAGAGTTTGCAGGATAATAAAAAGATAGACATAGGTAAGGTTTGCAGTAGAATGTATATATATATATATATATATATATATATATATATATATATATATATATATAGTACAGTTTGCAGTATAATAAAAAAGGTAGACATAGGTACTGTTTTGTAGAATAAAAGATATATATATATATATATGTAAAAGTGTGTATATATATATATATATATATGTGTGTGTGTGTGTGTAAATTGTATATATATATATATATATATATATATATATATATTTATTAAAGACATTTTTTATGTTTA